TCAGAAAATTCAAAAATCAAATTAAGTTTCTTATATAATGCCACTGGTAGTGAGAATGTTTGGACGAGTGAATGACAGTGAAATGCCACTGTTAGATTTTATATTTACAATATATATTTGGACCCAAACCAAAGAATGTTACTCATTATTACCTACAGATCAAAATCTAACTTTAAGATGATCAAAAAAGTATCCTGTGCAAGTCTATTTCTGTTTGGCTTACCTGCTACTTGTTTACCATCGTAATCCATGTAAACCAAAAAGTAAAATAAATAAAGACTGGCCTAGGTTGTTTTTCTGCACGTGTTTAAACAGGGTCTGGATTAACAGGGTTTCACACGCTGACATAGTTCCCTCTTGGTGCCAGCAGGTCCTTCTTTTCCCTTGGATAGAGAGCAGTTTTTCATTACAATTAAAGGACCAATCTTTAGATGTTCTCAGGGGCTGTATTTGAAAAATGAATGAAATACTTCTGTGTTAATAAACGACCCTGAATAAAGTTTACCTGCAGTAACTTATGAGGTAGAGTTAGTATTGCTTTAACATGACAAGGTATGGTTAAAGTACCCCTTTTGATGTATGTTACGGAACGATTAATAGAATCTAATCCTTGAGAAACATATTTTTGCCTCAGATTTAAGAAAACAGAGGATATGCTAGATGTCTTGTTAAATTTGGCATGTCAGGTCAATGTGGGATGAAACCCCCTAGAGATGCATGTCTTCTTTCATTTACCACTCTGGGGCAACCCCCTGGCATGGATATTCTGTAGTACTGACAAAAATAGAAACAATCGTGTGCAGCAGGTTTCAAAACCCACAATCAAAAGTCTCTGTTATATGCAAGGGATGCAACTCTGCCATGCCCTAGAGACCGTTGACAATTTATGGCTGGGGTGGGGGATTTGGAAGGTGGAAAAGTGAAGGAGGTGATGATGATTTTGTCCTGGGGAGGTAGGGTGGGTCATCAATTTTGAACACATGTATTAAGGGGGCATCAATTTGGTACATAAAAATATTAAAGATATATCCTTAAAAAACATTGGGGGAAGGGGGAGAGAGAGAGGCAGAGTCATTGATTTTGTACATGACAAGCAGGACATTTATTTTTTACATAAAATTTAATAAGGGTGTGTGTGGTGTCATTCAGATTATACATGCTTTTCCATAAAAATCATCATTACACCCCTACCCATAAATTATGAACGTTCTCTCAGATGATGAGGTAACCTGTTTGTTTTGAAGCAGTGAGCCCAAGCACATAACCCATGCCTGACAATGGTCCCAGGCCTATCCAAGGATATTAAATGTCGGTCCGTAAAATGCATGAACCACTGCACTCCATCCATAATGCATTAACTTCCCACAAACTAACACAACACAAACCTTTACAAAGCTCTTCGGGCTTAAACGAGGAGTTTGTTTCAACAAAGATGCACCAATATTGCCCATTTCAATGTTTCAAAACTGTAAACTGTCACAAGATGATAAACGAAGACAAGCTACCATTGAATGGTACATCCACTAATGTACATGGGTAGAAATCACATTCATGTTAGTCACAATGGTATTTAAAATGCACCATGATAAGTAGCCTGAACAGCATGGCCTCATATTCCAGATCTAGTTTGAATGAAAGTGGCTGTTCTATGTACCCCGAGCAGCAGCAGCTTAGAAGCCTCTTGTCGAGGAAGAGCATCCTCTAGAGTGAGTGATGTTTGTCTTTGAACTTTTGAGTTTAGTCATAACTTAGCTTGATGTAATCAGGTTTCAGTGTTTTCTTTTCTGTTCAGTCTTTTCCTACTGGTGTAAACCATGAACACAGATAAACCAACAATTGATGCACCATTACGCCTTCTCTGCTACAATAAGTTGCTGTACTGAAAACAATCTCTTTTAACAAATTTAAAAAAAATTGAGTCCATCCTGGAATTATCATTGAAATCAATAAATGAACAACAAATCTTGTTCCTTTATCATAACACAAATCTAAAATATCAAAACAATAAATCAACATTCCTTACACCATAAAAACCACTGAACATCACTGTGGATGAAAGAGACCAAATATGTCACGTACAAATGTCAGCAATGCTCTATCTGGACTATGAGGCCTGAACATTCAGGCTATGTAAAGTTTAATAAAGGATGATGTTTAATCCTGATTGTAGTGGTTTGGTCTTGCAGACCCAACAACCTGTGAAATACTTGTCCAGAAAATGCTGCTGTTTCGTCCCTGAGATCAAAGAATGTACCAGCAGGCTCAAGCCTTGGTTCAACTCTACCAGTGGTGACCCAAATGTCGATGAGAGACATATATACAACACAGGGTGTAATGAACGAGGAGGGTGGACTTGTACAGACATCATCACGGAATAAACAAGTGCACTTATTTTCTTTAATGGAATTCATAATTTTTGTTTTTGTAAAATAACAACTATGATTATACTTGAAAGTATGTGCATTTCAAAGAACCTTGGTAACTGTAAAAGTATCTTATGTCTTATAAAATAGTGTCTTACAGGGGTGGAAATAACTTTAAAATTGCTAGTGTATTCCGTAACAGTGGCACATGCAAAATCACTTGCCCTGATAATTTTTCCACTTTTCTGTCCATTTTCTTGTTGATTTTTAAAAATAAACAACATAATTAACATTGGAAATTCAACTGGACACCGGTACAGTGTGATATACAAATTTGCTTGCCCGACAGAAAACAAAACACTGGACTCGGACGTCGGGCAATGGGTTATTTCCACCCCTGTCTTAAGAATGAGCTGTCTAGTTGGAATGCATTTGCAAAACAACTTAATTCCTCAGGTTTTAACTTTACAATCAACGTGCTAAAGCTTGCCCTTGTAACTGGCCATTTGTTTTGATTCAGCATGGTCCTATTTTGGTCAGGAGAATCCATTAAACAAGAAAGTGCAGCCATGACAATACAGTGTGGATAATGGGTTGTGCAACTGGTCTAAATGAGGGTGATACGATATGTATTGCGTAAGGTCTTGATACCATACATATCACAACATCAATATTGAAGCTGTGAGGATGTACAGTATCTGGTGAAGTCATGATACGATTATTTTGTGTATGTTCAGAAATTAGTCACTTTTTAAAGGTAATGTTAAACTGGTTCCAGAAACCACCCTCCAAAACAATGCTCAAGATGTTCCAATTGTACAGATGTCCGAATACAAGCCCCGTCCTAACTTCACAAACCTTTACACCCTTAAAACATAGTGAAAAAGCAGCTCTGGACATACCGACTTTCATCTATACAACATTAAATTCTTTCCAATAAATCTAGAACTGAATATACATATTCCCAAAAACACAAAACACATTGTGAGATCAGTTCTTATCAAATGGTGCTTCTACTCTCTGTTGACCTCAAGTGAGGCTTCATTTTTAGTATGAAATTAAGTGGAACAGGATATCACAAACATGTCGACAAACAACCACACCGTGGTGTTTCAGCAAAATACAAGCCATCAATACAACCTTGTATCAAAAGTGGGTGTATGCACTCATCAGTAATATCAACGCTCTCCTGCAATAACAGTATCCAAATCTATCCCTGCAAACCTATTCTTACATACGAATATCCGAGGATAAAGTCCTCTTAAATATCTGAAAACCAATAAGGATAACAAAATGCTCATTTCTATGGCAGAATGTCTTCAGAAAGAGTATCACTATCTGATAAAATGTCATCAGAGAAACGCTCCAGACAACGACTTGAGGGTGTGGTGAATATGTATTTATCAAATCTAGACAGGTGCTTGTCCATTTCTAAAATATATTATCAGGACACAAACTGATATACTGAATCCCAAAATACCATGATTACAAAAAGATTAAATTTTAGGGAGGAATATCATCAAGGTGTACTGATGTCTTAATCTTTACACATCATCATTCACAAGGTTCTGCTTTCTGAGTCTTAAGGAATTTGTTAAGATAAATTGATATATAAGATCTTATAAATATCCTGAAAAGAAATCAAGGGCAGACAAACCGACAATGACATGAGTACATCTGGCTAGTACACCCTTGGGACAAGTCTACTCACTGGTTCACAACAAACTGTAGACTCTTAAACCCTTTAGATCTTTAGATCCATCGAACTTTCACATCCAGATGTAACATCTTGAACGCTAGCAAAGGTAATATGTTGAATACTTCAATACCAATCAGACTGTATTTAGCACATCAGTCAAGACTAGTGAGTACACCACCAGTCAGACTGTATTGAGTACACCATCAATCAGACTGTGTATTGAGTACACTATACACCAACAGTGGGACTATGTACTGAGTACACCAATCATGACTGTGTTGTGTACACCAATCATGACTGTGTTGTGTACACCACCAATGAGACTGTACTGAGTACACACTACAGTGAGACTGTACTGAGTACACCAATGACACTACTGAATACACCATGAATCAGACTGTATTGAGTACACCACCAGACAGTACTGGTGTACCAAGTACACCACGAATCAGGCTGTGTACCGAGTACAAAACCAAGGTGTACTACATAAGAAGAAACCTGAGAATCATGAAATATTGGCACAAATGAATTATGCTTGGTAGAGACAAATTTGGGTCACCACTTTCAAGAACACAAATCCTGACAGTTTCTTAAGAAATATTATTGGTCAATGTAATTATGAGAGATACATGCTTGAGCCTGTGTATTATGTAGGCTCACAGGGGGAGGAGTGCCCTCACAAACAGCTGAACCACTGTGGCATAAGCACCAGTGACTTTGGCAAAACTTGGACAAAATAGCGTAGAATCGTCTTCACGACTTATAAAAAAATTCTTTACTGAATGTGAAGAAGCCTAAGTTGTGTTCTTTAACACAATTAAACAAAGTCAGTTCACTCATATTCACTTTGAACCTTTACAGCAGCATACAAATACTGTTGGCAACATGGTATTATGGTCTCCTGGCTTCTGATGAAGTTGTCTCCCTTTCATTGAGAGTTGTCTTTCTTACATTGAGAGTTGTCTCCCTTTCATTGAGAGTTGTCTTCCTTCCCTTCCTGTTCCACCATGAAACTGCAAACAAGATAAGCAGCACTGATATGCGGACTATAAAAATAGCCCATTTCTGTAACAAAATGGGGAAAAACAAAAAAGGAACACATTTCCTGACAAAATATTTCTTTTGTCTTCTTTCGATGTAACAAAGTTGATAAAGGCAGTGACTGGGTTTACAGGTAATTCCAGGCAGCACTACCAACAACGAACTTCAAGGATATTGACACAGGTTGACAAGAGGCCATGGAATTCTTCTTCATCTGCCAGGAATCTTCTTTCACAAAATCTCCACCTACAGTAATGCCAAACATCACTCAGAAAAAGACCTCTTTGAAAATATTGGTGAAACCTTTTATCCAAATACCACCGATGAATGAAAACACACAGAATAATCTCCCTTTCCACTCACAGCGATACGTCTACAAATCCCAATTTACATGCACCCTCACATTTAGTTCAGTACTGCTCTACAATCAGTGCAGCAGTCAGTTTTGAACGAAGTCTTCAATCAGGGCCTAAATATTCTGGAGTTTTCCCCATTTGAACACTTGAGTTATCTCCCTTGGCATAGCCACCTATGGCGCCACATCTTCCTCTGCCTTTGGTATGTCATAAATCTCAGAAAACAAAGGTGGCAGGGCCACATGTTCCCAGTGTCCTCGGTACCATTTCAATGTTTCCTGGTGTTTTGACCCGAGGGTTCTCAGTTCAGGGAGTTTCATTATGATGGAGGCAAACAGATTCTCCTCTGTGGAATGGTTCCGGCTAACCTGAAGTTTTAAAGCTTCTATCAAATTGTCCTGAATTTTTTCAACAGATTTGGAATCTGACAGGCCTTGTCGATCTGAAAGAAAAACACAATGTGAAGATGAGAAGGTCAAACGTTCAACAGCGTTTGTATTTTGTAGCTATTCTTATCAAACTTGGAGTATCAATTTTGAGGCCCCACCCTTAACCATACAGCATACAGCTTGTCACTAAAGGACAAACACTTGTTTTCAACACTGTTGAAACAATAATTACAAGCAAATGAATTCCGACTGGACTACTGAAGGCTGACACAGATCGCTTAATCCTATTATAGTCCGTTTGGCTCAAAAGTGGACCGATGAATTGCAATCTAACTCGAAAACTAATAACAAAAATACTCAATGAAAAGCTTATCATAATCAAAACATCATACCAACTCTGTGAGGTTTTTGCAGAAGTTTCGTCCTAAAAATAAAAAAGTTGTTTAACAATCTATCATTAAAATATTGACACAGTTCACTGTTTGTTACGAAGGAGCAGTGCAGAGAAAGGGACAGCCAGGTGTTCGAGAACGGATGGAGACGGCACAGCACAGGTTAATGAATAAATAACTTTGTCTGTGAACGTGCTTCTCAAACACCTGGCTGTCCCTTTCTCTGCACTCCTCCCTCGTAACAAGCAGTGAATTGTGTCAATATTTTAATGATAGTTTGTTAAACAACTTTATTATTTTTAGGAAAAAAAATCTGCAAAAACCTCACAGAGTTGGTATGATGTTTTGATTATGATCAGCGTTTCATTGAGTATGTTATGTTTATTAGTTTTCGAGTTAGATTGCAATTCATCGGTCCGCTTTTGAGACAAACGGACTATAGTATGTTCAACACTTTGAAAAAATCAAAACCCTTGCACACCTTTTACTACATCTCATAACTACTCTCTCAACATGTTCAAGATGGTTTGCTACTGATTTTCTGAAAACATTAGATCAATGATCAACTGCAAAATGGTACTTTATAACTTGTTAAACGTAACGGACATACCAGCTGAACTTAACACAATGCCTGTGAAGAGGCCCACTTCTGTATCATTGAGGTTTAGGATATTAAAGCTGGCAGCAACATCGAACATGGACGACACAAATTCAGGCTGAAAGAGAAGGAATACAACAAGATGACAACTGGATATGAAACATCCGAATCAAACAGTAGTTAATGAATATAAATGTGAGAATACTAGATCCATAATATGATAGTATTAGAACCACAGACACTGAGTCTGACCATCCAATCCACTTGGTCGCCTCTCAAGAACGGTATAGGTTGTTGGGGAGCAGTTCTATCCGAAATCCCCACTGCACCATGTTCTATGATGGATAAGTTGCCCATTTTATAGTTGATTTCATAATTGAATCTTATTTAAATGTGAGACATTGAAGTAAGACATCAACATATTTGTTCTGAAACTAACATTGTGCAAACTGATTACTTCTGACATTTTCAGTATGGCTGCCCTGGCTACCACACTATCAGATGATTCAGATGTTATCGAAGGACTCTCCACCATGATGGATCAAAGGTGAGGTGAAATTGGGTTTTACGTCATGCTTGAGAATATTTCGCTCATATGACGACGTGCATGTGCGGCTGCTTGTACTAGCCCAGACTTAAGCTGGTTTTATAGTGCTAGCCCACTGAGATACCATGCCGCAGTGAAGCATGAATACCCCACTCAGACACATTATACTGACTCCGAGCCGACCAGTTCTTGTTGTACCAATTAATGCCGAGCTCCAGGCAGGGCACCAACAAGTACCATATTTTAACGTCTTTTGGTATGACGCGGTCGGGGATCGAACCCGCGACCTTCCTCTCTCGGCGGACACTCTAACCACTACACCACGGAATGATGGATCAAAACCAGAGACAGACCAAGACATGTAACAAATATGATTAAGTTCACTTACTGAGTACACAACATCTAGTTCATCTTTGGGTATAATACTCCCGTCCTCAAAGGTAACAGAGTTCTCTTCCTTGTTGAACATTCGGGCCATGCGAGTGAGCCAGATCTCAAAGAAACCCGTCTTGATTAATATCAGTTGGTCATCTTGGGACAGCTCTGAGAAACCTGCAGATTATAATGAGATCTGGCATAAAGTTGACCGACAAAACACAATGCCCTCAAATACTCCATACCCTCTTAGACAGATCCAGAAAGTTAAAATTATTGTATATGGACAGTATTGAATATGGCCTTATTTGGCACTCTAACTGACTGACTGAGTATGGTTTTACACGCTTTTAGCAATATTCCAGCAATATCAAGGCGGGGGAAACACCAGAAATGGGCTTCACACATTGTACCCATGTGGGGTTTGAACCCGGGTCTTCGGCGTGACGAGCCAACACTTTAACCACTAGGCTACCCCACGCCCGGCACTCTAACAATTCAACAATCTGTATCTACAATGGCCTCCCCTGGCACCATCTAAGCTAACTGTGGAACATTCGCTATTCAGAAATAACTCAACCTAGCACCATCTAATCCAACTGTACAACATTAAGTGTTAGTTTCAACAGTTAAGACTTGAACAAACCCAGTGTAAGTCTCCAGAGGCAGGTGTCAATCATTATGATGCACTTTATGGGGAATGTATCTTGTCTGAAATTTGTGTGGCTATTTCTTTTTAAAGTATGCCCATATTCCATACACTCCTTGCATTCTACTGGTTTTCATTGGTAGTCCTGCTCTCTAAGCTAATAATACACTCCAACTGCACTGCTACATCTTTCATATAATGTTCTATTTCTAGTAGTAGCATAACTATGGATTCCAACAAAAAGTAAGTGAGTGAGTGAGTCCAAATTTACACCGCTTTTAGCAATATTCAGGCAATGTCACGGCAGGGGCACAAGAAATGGGCTTCACAAACTGTAGCCATGTGGGGAATCTAACCTGGGTCTTAAGTGACCACTTTAACCATTAGGCTACCCCACCGCCCCTCCCCAAAGACTGACTGACTGACTGAGTTTGGTTTTACGCCGCTTTTAGCAATATTCCAGCAACATCATGGCGGGGGACATCAGAAATGGGCTCCACACATTGTACCCATGTGGGGATTCGAACCCGGGTCTTCGGCGTGAAGAGCCAATGCTTTAACCACTAGGCTATCCCACCGCCCTCCCCAAAGAAAAATCCACAATATTCATGGCACTGAATCTGGACTGACCTGGCACTCTCTTAGCGAACTCTACCACACTCTGTATAGAGGGAGTGATGAGGGTAGAGAGGTGCTGCCACATCAGGAGTCTCTGGGCCTCCAGCTCCTCCGCTGTGAACTGTACTGGCTGCTCTGGTATCTTGATCTGCTGCATCTGGAAACAGCTCAGGTTAGTGACGACCAGTGAGGTGAGGTGAAATTGGGTTTTAACGTCGTACTTGAGAATATTTCGCTCATATGACGACGTGCATGCACGTGCATGCGTGTGTATGTGTATGTGCGGCTGCTTGTACTAGCCCAGACTTAAGCTGGTTTTATAGTGCTAGCCCACTGAGATACCATGCCACAGTGAAGCATGAATACCCCACTCAGACACATTATACTGACTCCGAGCCGACCAGTCCTTGTTGTACCCATTAATGCCGAGCGCCAGGCAGGGACCAACAAGTACCATATTTTAACGTCTTTTGGTATGACGTGGTCGGGGATCGAACCCGTGACCTTCCGCTCTCCGGGCGGACACTCTAACCACTACACCATGGAGGCGGTCCAGTGACGACCAGTATTACATCCTACAACATCTCATACACTTACTAATTTATAACAATAACTTTTCCGTTAACGGATTCTCATCATCTCATTGATTGCAAGTACTTTTGTGCTGTAGTACTTCACTCTTGCTTGACAACGGTATAAGAATCTATACCGAAACATCGCATTATATATAATATAGAAGTTGTCATGTATAAAGTATCTTACTTTCTTAGATTCTCTCAGCTGAAACCAACATCATTGGGCAACTTGTAAGCAGAAAATGCCATATTTGCACCTCACAAAATGACTGAGCTAAGCGAGGCTTCATTCATTAACAACTAACAGCTCAAATTAGCAAAGACCAAAGATTGCATCACCAATAAATCTGATAGACAAATGGGTTTATAAAACAGAATGCTTGAATTTGTTCGCAGTTTCTCTTCAATGAACTGGCAGAAACAGAGGCAGAACAAGTGTTTGCCACTGATATGTCAGTGTCCCCGCCACTAAAGAATGGAATATCTATATTTTACTACTTTTTATTTTTTGGTCACATACAAGAAGCTTGAAATGACTGCATAATCACGAAATGTAGGCTGTCAAAGTAATTGAAAATATTGGGTGCAATGTTTTATGAAATATCGAATTTAAATAAGTTTGAAAAGCGGTCAAAGTGTCGTGGTACCTTGAAGATAAGATCAAGGTCACCCAAACAAACTGATGCTTGTAATTTGAAGACATTGGATACAACAGTTCATGAGATATCTCGTTAACAAGAGTTAAAAGTGTGCAAAGTGTCATGGTGTCCTTGAAGATAAGGTCAAGGTCACCCAAATTGACTGAATACATAGTCCCCGTAGGCTGTCACAATTTGAAGACATTGGGTATAACAGTTCATGAGATATCGCGTTAACAAGTTAATGAGACGGACAGACGCCGCTGGTCCCGGGGACAATTTGAAGACATTGGGTACAACAGTTAATGAGATATCGCTAACAAGAATCAGGGACGACGGACGGACGGGACAGATGCCGCTGAATACATAGTCCCCGTTCCCCGGGGAAAATAATCATTTTTTACAGGTTGCTAAATGAATGAGGTTACAGGGAAGGTTCATGCATTAGGTAGTTATTGAAAACCCCACAGTGAACTAGTTCAGCTCAATTGCGAAATTCACAACATTAAATGAAAAGGTGTTTAAAAAAAAGAGAGATGGATTGTATGTCAGAGTAACTATCACACCAGAAACCGTAGAACTGACCAGTGTTGCTGGTTTTCTCTGAATGACCTTGATCTTGTCCTCGGTGAGGCCACAGTGCGTGTGATGGGCCTGTGAGATGCTGAGGATCACATCGTAGATGGCCAACTGTTTGTTTTCCAGGGCTGTCTGATCCTGGCTGGAGTCAGTGGAGCTCACACGTTGGTCATCCTGACTCTTGGAGCGTTTCGGGACTCGCCCATATCGAACAGCTGCAAGTGAGTAAGTGAATATCGTTTAACGCTGCTTGTAGCAATATTCCAGCAATATCACGGCTGGAGACATCAGAAATGGTTTCACACATTGTACCCATGTGGGGATTTGAACCCAGGTTTTCAATGTGACATGTGGACGCTTTAACCATTAGGCTACCCCAATGCCCCTACACTTACAAGTAGGAAGAAGGATGCTTATCTTGGCTGATAGTGAGGTGAGGGGAAATTGGGTTTAACGTCGTGCTTGAGAATATTTCGCTCATATGACGACGTGCATGCGTGTGGCAGTGTATGTGTATGTATGCGGCTGCTTGTACTAGCCCAGACTTAAGCTGGTTTTATAGTGCCAGCCCACAGAGATACCATGCCGCAGTGAAGCATGAATACCCCACTCAGACACATTATACTGACTCCGAGCCGACCAGTCCTTGTTGTACCCATTAATGCCGAGTGCCAGACAGGGACCAACAAGTACCATATTTTAACGTCTTTTGGTATGACGCGGTCGGGGATCGAACCCGCGACCTTCCGCTCTCCGGGCGGACGCTCTAACCACTACACCACGGAGGCAGTCCTTGGCTGATAGTACTGGAGAAGTGGTGATTTAGTCTTTAGTCCTGAAGGGATTCTGATTAAGACTATATGTTCCAAGCAACATGCTTGCAAATATATCGACTAATTGGATTGGGCATTCAGGCTGAATAAGTAGGTCAATGCACGTCAAAATGACCCAACTTTATGGATCAATGGTGACAATGTCAATCACTCTACTGTCTGATTATCTACAAGATGCCATCATACAACAGGATTACTGCTGTATGCAGTGTAAAAAAGCAATAAACACAATAAAGCAAATACATTTTTGAAATATCAATATTAGATACAGAATTTGAACAGATAAACTAATTTACCACATAAGTCAAAGATATAAATAACCAAGTGATCAACAGTTTTGTTACAAACTAACACCAGTTGTGACCATTAAAGTAATACTGTAGGGCTGTAGTTTGTATGGCTCTGGTAGCAGCAAAGGGACACAACTCTGTACTGTTTGTGAAATGTCAAAATGTAATAATTTCAGTGACAGAGTTTGCTTAACGAAGACCACTGCATTCTAGCTATATTACTGCATGTGAGTCAATTGTGTGCTTCAAGGTAAGAGGTCTTTAATGGAACACATGAGCATCAGCAAGGAGCTTACAAACCTAAAAACAATCGTGGTAAACTAGGGTTCATACCCATGATCACACTTCCTGGTGTGCCCAAGGGAAGCAACTCTGTAGTTTTCAGCAATTATTAGGGGACACTTTAACCAGAATCATAAACAAAATCTTAAGCCACATAAACATAACAAACTCCATGATTCGTTGTATATGCTTTCATAATGAAATTGAACGGAATATGACAAAAGGAATTTATAGTAATACTGCTACTTACAGTCCCGAGACATTCCCACAGCTAGACATTTCTTGAATCGGCAATACTGACAGCGGTTGCGATTGAGTCGAATGACCATACATTTCCCGTCTCGTAAACAGCGGTACTCGATCTGCTTTTGTATACTTCTGCGGAAGAAGCCCTGCAAAAATACAAGAAGATAAAGTCATCAATATCCCCCGCAATGGTAAAATACTCTTCATGCATATGTCTACGAGTTATGATTATGTCAAATGTTTTGGCGTGTATATAGCTGAGTTGAAGGAGAGTACTCAAAGGTTTCAAAGTTCTGCTCTAGAAAGGAGCACTACCACCAAATTCACTTGAGAAGACAAAATTGTTGTCATGGAAACACACCAAAAAACAAATTTATTCAGAAATCCAAAACTAGCAAAAGGCACCAGTTCACCACTAGACCTACCTATGTATGAAATTTCGTGATGAAACAGTGAACGGTTGTAAAGTTCTGCTCCCGGAAAAGAGCACTACCACCAATTTCAGTCTAAGTCAAACTTGTTGCCATAGAAACACAAAAAATATTTTATTCAGAAATCCAAAACTACCAAAAGGCACCAGTAGACCACCAGATCTATCTATGTGCCAAGTTAGTTGAAGAAATTTTGAACGGTTATAACTCCGGAAAAGACAAATGTGCACGGACGCACGCACGGACAGAGTCCATTTTAATACCCCCTGCAAAATGAGTTGTGGGGGATAAAAAAATAAAACTTGAATCTCTTCATGAACATATCAAAACCAACATGAAACCAAAATTCTAAGAAATATTTTCAAATGCAACATGCGCGGACATAAGTACTTGCTAGTACCAAGGCTGAATTCTACCAGTAGTGAGTGAGTAAGTGAGTTAACTTCTACGCCGCTCTCAGCAATATGGCGGTGATCTGTAAATAATCTAGTCTGGACCACACAATCCAGTGATCAATACCATGAGCATCGTTCTACCATGGTAACTGTATATACACAGTAAACAAGCTTACAATGAACATGCCTAATAACCAACTGACAGATATATCAAACAGTATTTTGGGGTCTCAGCCACATGTTTTATATTTTAGACTAAACTCATATAACAAACTATGCTTATAACATACAAAAATTAGTCCTCAATTTGAGTTTGTTATGGCCTTAGTTAACGGCAGTCTGGATTTTAGGTGATGTGCTTCAAGTACCAACGAAAATACAGAATAGACACAGAAAATATATTTCACTCCAAGGGATGAACAATGATATTCAGTGTACCAACTTCTTAACAAGAAAGCTAAGCTAATTATTTGATCTCACAATACAGCACATTATGCCATTTCATTATTTCACAGGACACTTTACATTTCCTGTAGGGACCTCTTCCATAAGAAACAAGAAGACAAAGTCATCAATATCCCCGCAATGGCAAAATACTGTTATGAATATGTTTACTAGTTATGATTATGTCAAATGTTTTGGTGTGTATATGGCAAAATGGAAGGAGAGTATTGAAAGGTTTTTAAGTTCTGCTCCGGAAAGGAGCACTACCACCAAATTCAGTCGAAGCCAAACTTGTTGCCTTTAATCCTTTATTAACTGGCAAAATGAAACTAGTCTCAGGATGCCGATATTTGGTCGAAAGGTTGGCGTTAAAAGCTTGATACGCGCCACACACACATTACACACACACACCACACACACACATTACACACACACACACACACACACACACACACACACACACTGCAAAACGCGTTGCAGGGGATAAATAAAGATTACTACACAGGGTCTCATTACATACGAATTATACGAAACGAGTGTCCTTCCTATGGTATCTGACCATAACATAGGAAGGTCACGAGTTTCGTTTGTAATGAGACCAAGTGTGGTATTTTATTTATTACCCACGTCTTACATGCATTAAATTGACAAAATAGCTTATTTTTGTTATTTTTTTTGTTTCAAACCGAAACCGGTTTCATAAAGAGGTTGCAGAAGAGTTTTGTACTGTAGTACAATATTTGCATGACGTCGCTGCCTTGGTAACCAACGTCATGATGCATGTCAGTTGTCATCGCCTCGTACAGCCTCCTACAGTAAACTACTCCGTAGCACCCCGTTTCTTGGTTTGCAGTTGCTTCATTCGGCTAACATCACTGGTGGAAACATTGCGTTTATGTTTTTGACGGATAATGTCTCAGTTCGGCTCACAAATAAAAGTGACACGGCAACGTTCGCAATGTTTACATTCCCACAATGCATTTAAGTTGTAGAATGAATGAATTCACGTGTTTGTTATGAATGAAAAAATAGTTACGTCAGAATGTGACCTAAATGAGAGGTCATCGGTTATCCAATCAAATTGTTAGAATCTCAGGTCAAGTCGTTACGACACTCGTATGACGTACAAGATTAGTATGCAACTACCCATACGTTGACCACGTGGGTAATAATTAAGGGTTCTCTGGATCTCCTACTTTGGATGGGTCAAAGTAAAACCTTCATACAGTGATCCTTGCCAGTAACTATCCATGTGGATTTGTTGTACAACTATACAATGACTATCAGATAAGTGTTGGAAATTATGTTGTTCCCGAGTTCCATAAGGTTGCACCTGGTATATTTTAGCCTAGGGATCTCCTAAGCTTCAACTTTCAGCAAAAACATGATAAAGTCAACATTGTGATACATATGAGGAAACATGAAATGCCTCATTTACAATAAGTTGAAAGCAAGTAATACTATATGTACTGTAACAAGCATTTGTTTAGTACAATTAGAGGGTAATGACATGTGTCGAACAATTGATATATTGCCATTGTTGGCCCAGTAACAGTATCATGTTGATGGGAATTTAAAATACTGTAGATGGCATTTTGAAAATAATCAATAGTATTAATAATTGCATTTAGTCATTATACTTATTGTAGATATTGCCGACCAGAGACGCAAGTGATGAGATACATGTTGCATTGACAGGAAGGCATGTATGACTACTATGACATCCAAGTAGTGTCTTTCTGAGGCAAGGGAGTTAACTGGCTACAACTGTTGGACAGTGTTGGAACAGTGTTTGTCTTTTCATAAAAAATATAAACATAATACGACAAACAAAAATTAGTCTAGATTAACAATTCCTTGAACAGTATTTTAGTTATAGGACATCTCAGCATGAAGTTGGAAGAAAGCCCAAATGATGTATATAACTGGAGAAAACCTCAAGCATGGGGTGGAGGCTGACAAACCAAGAAACGTAACTGCCGCAAACTGTCATTTGCACCTAACCTGTGGTGAGGTTAAATTGGTCACAATCAAGATCATTGCAATGATTCGGTGGTGGTGTTGTGTGTGTTGTGGAGTTTTGTGTTTCATGGTGGCCTGGGTGTGGTGTGGTGTGTGGGTGTGGTGGTGTGTGTGGAAGTGTGTGGTGTGGTGTGGTGTGGTGGTGTGTGTGTGGTGGTGTGGTGCAGTGGTGTGTGTGGTGTGTGGTGTGATGTGTGTGGTGATGGGTGGATGATGGTGTGTGGTGGTGTGTGGTAGTGTTTGTTGTGGTATGGTGTGGTGTGGTGTGGTGATGGTGTGTGTGGTGGTGTAGTAGTGTTTTGTGGTGGTATGGTGTGGTGTGGGTGTGGTGGTGGTGTGGTGTGTGGTGTGTGGTAGTGGTGTGGATGTGATGGTATGGTGGTGTGGTGTGGTGTGGTGTGGTGTGGTGTGGTGTGGTGTGCATGTTTTCATGACCGCTTGTCCTAGTTGGAACTGATGCAGGCTTTATAGAATTAGCAGCACTGAGATACAATGCAGCCCTTTAACACTGATATCCACTCATATCCACAGGGCATTGCCCTAGGCTCCCTCTCTGTCTTCAAGTGAGTCATATACATAAGGGGTGATCTTTTTAAAAACAAATGTATGTTATAAATATATTCCCTGGTTCAGAAGCAATTCATAATCAATTATACCCATGCCAGTATGTGATACAGCATAATGATCTTCAAAATGAAAATTAAATCATGAATATAATAATACATATTGACAAGTATTACGATAATAGAAGTAATAACTTGGCAAGATGGGACAATTGAATGTAAATAATAGAGACTGTATTGACCCAATATTTATTTTTAGACTTTTTCTACCAAAAGCCATTACATTTCTGTTAATTTACTTATCATCAGAATCGGTTTACTTGCCAATGTGTAAAATCGACCCATGACGAAAATATACTGGAGTACTTTTTAAAACAGATTGCATTAAATATGCAAGATTTATCGGTCAGGGCAATACCTGCATGCAGTATAGAGCCCGTAAGTAGGTCATGACACTTCGCGAGACCTTAGTACTTCTGGTGACAAAAACGTTTCATACCTTTTCGAACCTTCTCATGGTTGATGCACTCTCTTGATGCATTATGTAAAATGTGGGAAATATACTGACAGAAACAAATAAAGCATCACTTGAAAAATCAAGCGTTCCTATAATATTTTCCAGTTTTCATCACCAGCTCTGAATAGTGCTGTGGCAAGGAAAACTGGAAAATAATAAAGAAACGCTTGCATTTTCCTGTGATCCTTTATTAATTTCTCTCAGTATATATTTGATGTGATATTTGACACTCACCTTGCATCCTTCACAGGAAGTGACGCCATAATGATAGCCTGAGGCCCGGTCGCCACATACCTTGCAAGGTACAAATGACTGCTTAGGACTGTTGAAATCAGCAGTCCCGAGATTGCTGTCGGCTGGAAAATAAAAGAGATTACAAGATGAGTGAGAGAGTAAGGTCTAATGCCCTCTTAAAAATATTCAAGCAATATTACAGCAAGTGACACCAGAAATGGGCTCCTGCACTGTTCCAATGCGTGGAATCCAACCCAGGTCTTTGGCATAACAAGTGAACACTTTAACCACAAGGCTACACCAACCCCCAGATAACAAGATGAATCTAAGAGTGTACAACCAGAGCTCCAGATAAGATTTAGCTCATGTGGGTACTGTACCCACTGTATTTTTTGGGAGTGGGTATTATGAATGTTGAGTGGGTATTTCATTTTCCGTTACCCACTGCTTTCAAATATGTGCGTATTTCAGTCATTTTACTTACCTAAGTATTATGTCATTGAGTAAGTTTACTAAGCAGGTATGTTCTGCCTTATGTCATACCTAATCAAAACCAAGTTAAATATAATGGAAATGATTTCATAAAAATCACTCATCCTATACTGACAGTACAACACTAGTCCTATACTAACAGTACAACTTGATAGCAATCGATGTCTTTTTTTTTCATTACGCAAGCGATGTTTATAAATATATTCCGTACGCATTTGTTTTAAACTTTTTGCGTATCTAACATTTTAAATGCGTCATTGGTATGCAACAATTATTTTTCAATGCGTAATTGGAAATTTTCTATGCGTATTTTACCCGGATACGCAGCTTATTTGGGCCTCTGTTCACAGCATTCCACAGTTTTAATTTCTGGACTTCAGCATGTGTGTTCAGATACTCGATGCATGCAATTGAGTGAGAGCCTTCTGATACAGTCAGCATCTTTGCACATCAATATGTATTAGCGTACTAAATCAACCAATGTTTGGTTGATAACATAAGCTTATGATCCTCATAGTGAGTGTTCAATTAAGTTGGTCAGTACAAGGTTACAGGTTTGTGAAAGCAAAAATCTTGTCTGCTTATGGAAATCTTTTGGATAAGGTTTAATTGGATACTATGTACTAGTCTGAACTGGAAACTGTCATTGGTAGTCTCAACAGGTAACTGTTTATCCTCAGTTTTAACTGGGACCTGTTTGTTGTAAGTCTGAACTGGAAACTGTCATTGGTAGTCTCAACAGGTAACTGTTTATCCTCAGTTTTAACTGGGACCTGTTTGTTGTAAGTCTGAACTGGAAACTGTTATTGTTTGTCTCAACAGGTAACTGTTTATCCTCAGTTTTAACTGGGACCTGTTTGTTGTAAGTCTGAACTGGAAACTGTCATTGGTAGTCTCAACAGGTAACTGTTTATCCTCAGTTTTAACTGGGACCTGTTTGTTGTAAGTCTGAACTGGAAACTGTTATTGTTTGTCTCAACAGGTAACTGTTTATCCTCAGTTTTAACTGGGACCTGTTTGTTGTAAGTCTGAACTGGAAACTGTCATTGTTTGTCTCAACAGGTAACTGTTTATCCTCAGTTTTAACTGGGACCTGTTTGTTGTAAGTCTGAACTGGAAACTGTTATTGTTTGTCTCAACAGGTAACTGTTAATCCTCAGTTTTAACTGGGACCTGTTTGTTGTAAGTCTGAACTGGAAACTGTCATTGGTAGTCTCAACAGGTAACTGTTTATCCTCAGTTTTAACTGGGACCTGTTTGTTGTAAGTCTGAACTGGAAACTGTCATTGGTAGTCTCAACAGGTAACTGTTTATCCTCAGTTTTAACTGGGACCTGTTTGTTGTAAGTCTGAACTGGAAACTGTCATTGGTAGTCTCAACAGGTAACTGTTTATCCTCAGTTTTAACTGGGACCTGTTTGTTGTAAGTCTGAACTGGAAACTGTTATTGTTTGTCTCAACAGGTAACTGTTTATCCTCAGTTTTAACTGGGACCTGTTTGTTGTAAGTCTGAACTGGAAACTGTCATTGGTAGTCTCAACAGGTAACTGTTTATCCTCAGTTTTAACTGGGACCTGTTTGTTGTAAGTCTGAACTGGAAACTGTCATTGTTTGTCTCAACAGGTAACTGTTTATCCTCAGTTTTAACTGGGACCTGTTTGTTGTAAGTCTGAACTGGAAACTGTCATTGGTAGTCTCAACAGGTAACTGTTTATCCTCAGTTTAACTGGGACCTGTTTGTTGTAAGTCTGAACTGGAAACTGGCATTGTTTGTCTCAACAGGTAACTGTTTATCCTCAGTTTTAACTGGGACCTGTTTGTTGTAAGTCTGAACTGAAACTGTCATTGGTAGTCTCAACAGGTAACTGTTTATCCTCAGTTTTAACTGGGACCTGTTTGTTGTAAGTCTGAACTGGAAACTGTCATTGGTAGTCTCAACAGGTAACTGTTTATCCTCAGTTTTAACTGGGACCTGTTTGTTGTAAGTCTGAAACTGGAAACTGTTATTGTTTGTCTCAACAGGTAACTGTTTATCCTCAGTTTTAACTGGGACCTGTTTGTTGTAAGTCTGAACTGGAAACTGTCATTGTTTGTCTCAACAGGTAACTGTTTATCCTCAGTTTTAACTGGGACCTGTTTGTTGTAAGTCTGAACTGGAAACTGTCATTGGTAGTCTCAACAGGTAACTGTTTATCCTCAGTTTTAACTGGGACCTGTTTGTTGTAAGTCTGAACTGGAAACTGTCATTGGTAGTCTCAACAGGTAACTGTTTATCCTCAGTTTTAACTGGGACCTGTTTGTTGTAAGTCTGAACTGGAACTATTTATCCTTAGTCTGAACTGAAAATGATTTATTGATAGTCTAAAATAGGAACTGTTTGTTGTAACATATTAAAGTCTTTCAAACTATTTATCCTGATTCTGAACTAGAAACGGTTTATTCGTATTCTAAACTGAGACCTGTTTGTTGTAAGTCTTTCAAACTATTTTATCCTTAGTCTGAACTGGAAACGGTTTAATTCTTAGTCTAAACTGGGACCTGTTTGTTGTAAGTCTGAACTGGAACTATTTATCCTAAATCTGAACTGAGCACTGTTGTGAAAACTGCACTGTCTATCCTCGTATGAACTGTTTTCACTCGTCACTATTTAAACATTACCGTAAACTTGGTTATAGCTACAATAGCTGACAATGCTTGACTGACAGCATGGGAGTTTAAATAGTTTAACAGAATGCTGTGTCTGAACAAACTGTTTCCATATCAAATACTGTTTCAATAAAACACTACATCCCTAGACTTCTGTTCTCCACTGAAATTAAATAGAATACTACTGAACAAAGAACAGGAATATTTGTTGGTTTCACATTACTTTTCAATTCGCTGTGCACATGCGCTGAGCTTGTGAAAAATATTCACTGACATGTTTCCGGTTTGGTCGTATGTTTATCGATAGTGTAAACGCTCCAAAGAAAACAAAAATCAAAACAAATATATAGTTTTATGTCGAATACAACTGATGCCAATTGATTTATGAAACAGAGGCCAGGATTAGTTAAATAAATAGCTAAGTTATGTTAACAAGCTCTTGTATAAAGACATCTCACCACCACCGTCCTACCTGCACACACCCTTCTCACAACTAAACAAACAGATCTTTGATGGGATTGCAACCAAAATAGGACATCAGTTATTGAAAAGCAGAGGCAAATGGAAGTATGTACTCAGCTATGAACAGTTTTTCATAACAGCTTTTCTTTAGAGTACATTTACACTAGCGACAAATATACGACAAACTGGAAGCATGTCAGTGGATATTTTTCACACGCTCTGCGCATGCGCACAGCGAATTGAAAAGTAATGTGAAACCAAAAAATTATTCAGATCGTAACAGCCGCCCAGTAACATAATAATCAATAAATTGGAAAATGATGTTTTTCGCACAACCAGCTTGGATACAATCTTCCATAGTCCCGATGCAGGTTAATGAAACTGTAACCCATAGTTACATCAACTAAAGCAAATCTACATTCTGATGAAATCAGTCCTCATTACTGACGGTGAAGGGTTAACAAAGGCCTTCATGAATGTCACATGTCACATGCAAGACATAAGCTGTGGCCTTCACATGTGGAGATGTGTTGTGATAGGTTAATTAAATGTGGCTGATGTTGGAAAGTACAGATCAACCTTGTTGGATCTGCAGCTTATCCAATATGTTAAACGCTTGAAATTTGAACCGTTTTGTTTATAACATGTACAATATTTGAATTGGTATACGCAACTAATGAAAGCTGGCCCACAGGTCAGAAAATACATCCTGATCCACAACACCATGGTTCGTAAGATAAATACACTGATTCAATATTCTGGTTAGACAAATATGTCAACTAGACAAAACACACTGATTGGCTAGATGAATGAATACCCTGGTCAGGTAGATGAACACACTGTTGAGCCAGAAACATACACTGGTCCCCTAAACAAATACACCGGTCCCCTAAACAAATATGCTGGTCCCCTAAACAAATATGCTGGTCCCCTTAACAAATACACTGGTCCCCTAAACAAATATGCTGGTCGAATAGACACTGGACCAGCACACAAATACCCTGGTCAGCTAGATGAACATACTGTTGAGCCAGAGACATACACTGGTCTCCTAAACAAATACACTGGTCCCCTTAACAAATACACTGGTCCCCTTAACAAATACACTGGTCCCCTAAACAAATACACTGGTCCCCTAAACAAATACACTGGTCCCCTTAACAAATACACTGGTCCCTGAAAACAAATACACTGGTCCCCTTAACAAATACACTGGTCCCCTAAACAAATACACTGGTCCCTAAACAAATACACTGGTCCCTAAACAAATACACTGGTCCAGTAAACAAATACACTGGTCCCCTTAACAAATACACTGGTCCCTAACAAATACACTGGTCCGCTAAACAAATACACTGGTCCCCTAAACAAATACACTGGTCCCCTGAAACAAATACACTGGTCCCGTAAACAAATACACTGGTCCCCTTAACAAATACACTGGTCCCCTTAACAAATACACTGGTCCGTAGAAACAAATACACTGGTCCCCTTAACAAATACACTGGTCCGTAAACAAATGC